TCACAAGGTGACCTGCACCACCTTCACGTTCTCCCTGGATTCCCGCCATACCATCCCCCCTTTTGCCTCCAAGGTCACATGAAATGCCTCCACCTCTTTGACCCTAAAGAGGGTCTTGTACTTCCGGTCCTGGTCTGCCCAAGCCACCCTCTTGGTCGGTTTGATCCGGATAAAATCTCCTACCCTGATCGGCTCCAGGAGGGTTCGACGTCGGTCAAAGTCGACCTTCTGCTTCTCCTGTGCCTTATCATGGTTCTCAGCTGCCTTTGCCAGAGCCAGCTCCATCTCCGAGGACCTCTCATAGATAAGTCCAGCTGCTGCATCGGCTTCCTCCTCGGTGGATAGCTCGGTCAGCTCCTTTACCTCCCATTCCGTCAAGGTGCTACCCGTGATGTTGGGGTGGCGGCCATAGAGTAAGAAAAAGGGGGAGAATTTGGTGGAGGAATGAATGGAGGCCCGGTACCCCAGCAGGACCCAGCAGATGTTTTCATCCCATTCGAATGGGTTGGTCTCCCCCAACCTCACCAACGCCCCCTTTAGCGTCCTCTGGAATCTCTCAATAAGCCCCGAGCTCTGAGGATGATTGGGGCGAGAGAATTCATGATAAATCCCGAATTTTTCCAACAGCACCCCGAACTCCCCATGAAAATGTTGCCCATTGTCCGTGTGGATCACCAACGGGCAGCCGTGTGTGGAGATGATCTTCTCAGCTACAAACGCGGCTGCCGTTGCTGAGTCCGCATGCCTCACCGCCTTGCACTCAGGCCACTTGGTGAAGTGGTCCATGGCCGATATTATGTATCGGTTCCCCCCTTTTTCCGTCACCGGTAGTGGGCCGACGAAGTCGATCACCACTCTGTCCCATGGCTTTGTTACTGGGACCGGCCGCAATTCCCCTTTTGCCGTCCAGGATCCCCTCTGGAAAGTGCAGGTAGGGCACCCTCGTACAAAGGCTGATACGTCACTCCCCATGCCATACCAGTCGTACTGCTTCCGAACCAGGTCTGTGGTGCGTTGGACCCCAAGGTGCCCCAGCCCGTGGAGGAGGCTAATGATCTCCCCTCTCTCTTCCTTCCTAGGGACCGGCTTTTTATCCCCCTTTGCCTTCAGGTTCCAGAGCACCCCATCCCGTAGTTCGAACTTCTTTCCCCGGGCCCGCACCCTCCGTTTCTCAGCCGTATCCCACGCCGGATCAACCTCCCCGCACTCCAGGTAGAACAGGGTGTTGAGGTCATCCCAAATATCTAGCGTGCTCGTCTCGGATGCGAGACTTCTATCCGGCTGCTCTCCCTCATGAGATCCGTGTGGGGGTCCACCTCCCCCGGCCTCTTTTTCATCCCCCTTTGAGGTCCCGGCTTCCTCCTTCAATTTCCCCTTATCACGTCTGACCTTTTTGAGAGGTTGTGTCATTGGCGGTGATAACCTCCTCTCTTCCGACCCTTCATGGTCATTTTCCTGTCCTCCTACCCCTGGAGCCACCATCTCCTTGTCCCCTTCGGTTGCCTCCTCCTCTTCCTCCTCTTCTTCCTCCTCCTCCCCGTCCTCACCATCCCCATCTCCGGATCCGTCTGTTTCATCGTCCTCTTCTCCCGACCCTTCATCCTCATTATCGGCTTCTTCGGATCCGGCTCGTCCGACCTCTCCTTCTTCTTCCCCATCCCGTTTTTCCGTATTGCTACTCAGTTCCTCTGGCTCACGGCCGTCCACCTCGTCTCCTTCCTCTTCACCACTATCCCCTCCGTCCCCTTCCCCATCAACCGAGCTGCTGCTTTCTTCCCCAGCTGGTGGTGGTGGTGGGGGTGACCGTGGGAACAGGTTTGTGAACATGGGGATGGGGTTTGAGGTGGGGGACAGGGGAGGTGAGTGTGCATATGAGAGTGCCTCCCCCCCGGACTGTTGATGCAGCCCCTGGTGCATGCGGCTAAGTGCATCCACATTCCGGTGTGTCTCCCCAGGCCGATAGGAGACGGTGAAGTCGTACTCCTGCAGGAGTAGACTCCACCTGGCCAACTTTCCTGTTAGGTCCTTGGCCGTCATTAGCCACTGGAGGGCCTGGTGGTCGGTCTGCAGCAGGAACCGGCTCCCATAGAGGTAGGGTCGGAAGTGTTTGATAGCCCACACCACTGCCAAGCACTCCCCGTGGGTGGACGACAGGTTCCTCTCCGCCCCTCTTGTCGTACGGCTAGCGTACGCCACCACTCGCTCCGCCCCCTTCTCATCCTTTTGAGCTAGGATGGCCCCCAAGGCCGTAGCAGAGAAATCCGTCTGGAGGATAAAGGGTTTAGAAAAGTCTGGGAAAGCGAGAATGGGAGGGGAGATTAGAGCCAGTTTGAGGGCATTGAATGCCCTCTCACATTTGTCCGTCCACTCAAATGGGTGGTCCTTGTGCAGCAGCTGTGTGAGGGAATGGGCCACCTTCGCATACCCCTTCATGAACCGCCGGTAGTAACTGGTGCACCCCAGGAACTCCCGGACCCCTCTCACATCCCTTGGTGCCGCCATCTTACTAATCGCCTCCACCTTTCCCGCATCCGGCTTCACCCCATCCCTTGTCACGATGTGCCCCAAGTAGATCGTGGAGTAGAACCCCAGCTCGCACTTGTTGGGTTTGAGGAGTAGGTGGTTGGCCTTCACCCTTTCGAAGACATCCCGTAGGTGCTCCAGATGCTCCTCCCAACTGTTGGAAAAGACTATAATGTCATCGAGATAGGGAATGGCGTTAGGATGGGTGCGAAAAAACGGTGGTCATGAGGCGTTGGAATGTGGCAGGGGCATTTTTCAATCCAAAAGGCATCCGGACATACTCATATTGACCCGAGGAGGTAACAAAAGCGGTCTTAGGGATGTCCTCTTCGGCCACTCTGATGGTATGATAGGCCGATTTGACGTCGAGGACTGAGAAATACAGCGACCCCGTCATCCGGTCGAGGATATCATCTATCCTTGGCATGGGAAACTGGTCCGCTGCTTCTGTCACCGCACTGAGGGGTCGGTAATCGATCACCACCCGATCACCGAAGTCCTTTTTCGGGATGACGATACACGGGGAGGCCCAGGGGCTGTTGGAGGGTCGGATCACGCCTTGTTCTAAGAGGGCCGCTACCTCCTCTTCTATCCGAGCCCGTTCCGATGGGGATACCCGGTATGGTTTGTGGGATATGGGCTTGGCTGACCCAGTGGCAATGTGATGAAGGACGGTGGGGTGGGTGCCTAACGGTTCGGCTTCTGTGGCAAAGACCTCCCGATACTCTACCAGCAGCTTCCTCAGGTCCGTCTGTTGGGCCATCCCTAATTCATGGTTGAGTGATACCGGTAGGTCCTCAAAGGCAGGGCAGGCAACTCGAGGGGCCTCCTTTTTGAGGCTGTAATAACTACCAAGAACTATCCGACCTTCATCCCCTTTTTCAGCTGCCAAGTATTGCCACCGCTCAGCTGCCGGGTAATTGAATAGCTCGAATAGGTAGTCCGGACTGATCCGGTGCCCCTTCCCCTCATAAATCAGCTCCCCTTCCTCCTTGTCCTCCACCAGGTACTCTTCCCCGTCCGTCATCGAATCCCCTTCCCATAGGTCCGTGATTTCCCCTTTTTCCTCCACAGCCTTCCGTGCCTCCTCATACCCCATGTCCCATTGTGGTTCCCCAGCCTCATCATCCGACGCCCCAAGGTCAGAGTAACGTTCCCCATCCGACCCAAAGAGATTAGGCATCTCGTCATCCGTCCCGACTTCTCCTTCTGGCTCAACTCCCTCGGGTATGCCATTGAGCCCGTCTGCCCCGAGCTCCTCATAGAACTCATGCTCCTTGAGTTCTAGGACGTCCAACTCCGCCCGATCCAACTCCGCTTCCTCCTGGACCCATGCCCAGTAATCCGCCTCCTCCTCCTCCGTTAACCGGATGCGCCCTTGCTCTTTGGCTAGGAGGAGCTGCTTCTCCTCTAGCCACCGCTGGAACTCCTCCTCATTCATCCCGGACCAATGCTGAGGGGGGTTGGGATCATTCCTGCGGGGTGTTTGGGGCGGGAGGGACACATAGGAGGGACGGCTACCCATGCCCACGGGTCCAGTGGTGATAGGGACCGAGTCTGTCTCTTTGGTATTGACCCGGTACACTATCTGTCCTTTGCTGGTCAGGATATCTGCATTAGCCGAATAGATCCAGTCCTGTCCTAGCAGCATGTCATAGGTATTTGCCCCGGTCACCGCTATATCGATTGGGAGGGTCAGCTTCCCCACCCGCACCGGCACGTCAGGCAAAATCCCCCATGGCTTCGACGTCTCCCCACTAGAGGTGGTATACTCTATCGTGGTGTCCTGGAGGTAGGGTAGGAGCCCTAACTTCCTAGCGATGACGTGCGAAAGGGCCGTTTGGGACGCACCGGAATCAACTATTGCGGTCAGACGGTGCTTGCCTAGGTGGACATCGCACTGGGGGACTTGGAAGACTAGATTGCTGGGGATCGGGTCCTCATGCCTAGACTCCCGTGGAGCAGCTGCCACTATCGAAACCCCTTGCATGGCGGCTGCCCCGTCCTCCTTCCCCTTATCCTCAGCCAGCTTCAGAGCATCCAACAACTCTTTTCTCACCTTGTCACTGTCGCTTATGTAATTCCAGACGCTGGCGCTCACGGGGGTGAGTTTCAGCTGGTCCACCACATTATATGAGTTGGGTAGGGCGGATACCCGTGGCCTCCGTACAAACCGGGATCCCTTAGCTGCTTCCTCAGCCCCGCCCGTCTCAGCCAGCTTCTTCCTCAACTCCTCCCTCGCCTCGTCTATTCCCCATCCTTCCGGGTCCCGGACCGCCTGCCTTTTCCGAGGTCCGACCAGCATATCCAGCTTTCCCTCTTCCCCGTTAAGAAATTCCGCTATAGTCGGGGCTTTTCCTTCTAGGACCTGCTGCATGACGTTCAGCGCCGCCCGTCCCTTTTGGGTGCAGTCCCGAGCCATATGCCCCTCCTTTCCGCACTGGTAACATTTAAATCCGCCTCCTGCCGGCCTAGGGAGTAAGCCGCCTCCCCTTCCTTGCTGCATCTGGGCTAACTGGATACTCAGCTTCTCCAGCTGCTTGGTGATTTTATCCACCTCTGACTCCTTATTCACCGGGTCCTTCTCTTTAGCAGCTTCCACCACCGGCTCTATCCCCATGGGTAACGAATAGGACACAAAGTACTTGGCAGCTTCTTCAGCCGCCTCCAGGGAGATTGGCCTTCCTCCCAGCACCCTCTCCCTCAAGCCTTTGTCCCCCAACCCCTCAATAAAGTGTCTCACCGCCATGGCCGTAGGGTAGTTGGGAACGTAGGCCGCCAGCTGCCTCACTTCGTCCGCCAACTCCGTCACCGTCTGCCCCGGTTTCTGCTTCAAAGCCGACAGCCTCTGCATGACATTAGCGGTTGATTCCCAAATAAAGCGCTCCTTAAAAGCCTTATCAAAGCCCGCTACAGACTGAAAATCCTTGCTCTCCGCCCACACGTAGGCGGAGTCCGTCAGGTGCATCAGTAGGTAATCTAACTGCTGCTCCTCGGGTATGGAGGCTAGGAAGCACCGTAATGCACGCGTGGCCTGACTAATCCACACCTTAGGGTCCGGTGAACGTCCATCAAAACGCGGCAACTGCCCCATAGCTGCAGCTATACTCGACATGCTCGGAAAAGGGACGGGTTCGTTTTCTCAGCCAAAGGGAGAGGAGGACCTGTATGGGCCACCACAAAATTAGGAACTTTCAAAATTTTCTGACCTTTAGCTTGCAACCGCCGGGTAGCTATGACCGTTCTAGACCACCCGAATGGTACCAACAGCGCCTCTTCACTAGGTCGGGGTCCTCTAAATCGAGCTCCAGCCCTACTCCTCGGGCTATTCCTTCCTTAGAGCGAACACCTCCTTAGTACAAGGCCGCCGGCAGCACCTCTGAGTAGTGTACGAAGGCTCAGAGCGATCCACAATAGTAGCTTGGTAGCAATAGGTTGGGCATGAGTAATCTCCTTAATCGATTATGCCTACACAAGCTTCCCCCTAGGTTTATATAGTGGGAGGGCATTTCCCACACCACTCCAATGCAACATTCCTAGAGGTCCTATCCGACGAAACTCCCCTAGAACTTTCCTCATAACCCCTCCTTGGGTTATTTTGGTGATTTAGAGGGAATGCTGCCGACCCAATCCAATGCATTGCTTACCGAGGTGCGTACCAGGGCGAGCCGCTATCGGATTGATTATGCTGCCATCTAGATCCGTTGTACCTTACTCCGACATCCGTACCAGGGGAAGGTCCCGAGGCGGGTCTTCATCGGATCGAATGTTGCCATCCGGATCCGATGTCACCAAGGTCCGCGCCAAGGGATGAACCCAAGGCGATTTGCTACTGGACTGATTCACCTTAGCTGTGGTTTCGCGGCTTATAGAAATATGCTGCCGCCTAGGTTCAATGCATCTCACCCAATATCCGAGACCATGGATCGAGCCCAGGTCGGGTCCCTATACGGTCAAGATACCCCGATCGAGGTATCTAGGCAGCTTATAGATATGCTGCCGACTAGATCCAACGCATTCGCCCACCAAGATTCGCGCCAAGGGACGAGCCCAAGGCGGTTTGCTACCGAATCATTTAACCTAGCCAAGGCGCTTTCCCGCCGAGGTTCGTTCCAAGGGATTGACCCGAGGTGATTAGCCATAGGCTACCGGACCTCTTACCCTAGCTAGGGCACTCGTGCACCAAAGATTTTACCAAAGGGGCATACCCCAATTGGCCTAGCATGTCTAGACAACCCCGATGGAGCTCATACTCAAATCCGAGCCAATTATCCTCTTAGAAACCCCGAGGGTTGACCCGTTGACCATTTTAGCTAATGACTTTGGTATTTAAGTTACACTACCATCGAAAGTTGATAGGGCAGAAATTTGAATGATGCGTCGCCGGCACAAGGCCGTGCGATCTGCGGAGTTACCATGTTTCACCAAATGGACCGGGCAAGCCCGGCATTGGCCTTTGCTCTAATAAATGCGTCCCTTCCGTGAGGTCGGGACATTTTGCACGTATTAGCTCTAGAATTACTACGGTTATCCGAGTAATTGGGCACCATCAAATAAACAATAACTGATTTATTGAGCCATTCGCAGTTTCGAGGGAACAAATGCCCTCTTATACTTAGACATGCATGGCTTAATCTTTGAGACAAGCATATGACTACTGGCAGGATCAACCAGGTAGCCCTTCCCCAAGGTAATCAGGAGCGCGGGAGCCTTGACGGCACCCTCGCGGGCCTCGGTCACAGCAGGCTCGAAAGCCCCCTGCGACGTCTGCCCTTTTTCCCCTTTCTCGCACGAGCCGTCCCGCCGGAAATCACCCGGATGTGGGAGCGGCCCGCTACGCGAGGCGTGCGCACCGTCGAGCCCTTATTTTTCCCCTCCTCCGCCCCGGCCGGAATCACCCGGCTCGCAGGGCGTCGAGGGTCAGGCCCGACGCTTAACGTAATGCGCAACACAGATTCCACGGTTCGCCGACACCTCCGCACGCCGGTCCACGGAAGAGCGCCCGAGTGATGCGGGGAGTGGATTCACCCTTTATCTCCCTGCAAGACCCGAGGCTCGTCCGCGTTCGCGACGCTCGTGGCAAGCCGAACCCGAGAAGAGCCCGCGGTGCCACCCGCGTGCCCGTCCCTTGCTCGCCTGCCGTCATCTCTTCCCATTTTCGGCCCAGAGCCTCTGGCGGAAGGCTCCGGGCCTCGATCCCGGGTACCCAAAGCTGGGTGTGGTGGATTGGCCCCAAGGTGGCAGCCATCCCTCGGTTTCTCCCATGTGCCGCGGCGGCCCGCCCGCGGCGAGACGGCAACGCCAACCGCACGAGGCGGCTGTGTTCCGTCCCTCCCTCCAGGCCGAGGTCCCCGCTCGGCCCCGTTAAAAACGAGGCTTCGCTGTCCCTCAATCGACCTGGTTTGCCTCCGGCCCGAGAGGCACACCATCTTCCCCGGACTCTCCTAGGTGGACTCCGGTTGCCCCCGTGAACGAGGGTTCCCGTCGACCTCCACGGAGGGTCTGGGGTAGCAGCGCTTGCCAACCTGCAACGGTTTCCCGTTGCCCATTTTCGGAGTCAGGCAACAGTTCCCCCGTTACCCACTCTTCCACGGGCCCTCCCGGCCCCCCTCCCCAACACATCTGGGGCTCTGCATTTAATGTTAGCCAGAGCCCCCCTCCCAGATGGCCCTCCGCACCACAAGTACGTCCCGCCCCCTACCTCTGGGGGTCAAAGTGCACGCCAACCCTCCGAAGAGTGTCGACACACACAAAATATTCGGGCGTCACGGTCCACCTCCCGCGTGGACCCATGTGGTGAATCGTTAGACCTCAAAAGCTCGACGGATTACCCACGTGCACGAGAACACCGGGTCCTGCGACAAGCCCGCCTTCACAAAGCTCGTCCTCTTGGCATCGGTTTTGGTACAAGCCGACTTGGCAACTGCCTTGCGGCGATTACCGGTTCTGAACGCGTGCGTATCGGCTGGTTCCAGAGCGCCGCCGTCACCGTGGCGAACTTTCGAGCTCTTTTCCCGACCGACCCAGTGTCGTAATAAGCCGGGTTTCATGAGCAGGGAGCTACCCAATTACTCAATCCCCCATGTTCGGCTCGTGACCACTGCCGCTGAACGATTGTGCCCGCCTCCTACTTGAAAAAGTAGGTAGCACCGACCGCTCTCCTACCCACTGGTAGGCTGCTTAAAAAGTGGCCCCTCACGCGCTAGCAAACAGCTTGTTCCTCACAATGCTCCCTCGACTCGGCAAGGCCGAGCAAGAGGAGTCTTTGCCCTGATCGGGGGGACATTGCCAACCGCATCCCATCACAGTCTCATTTCTTGACAGTTCCAAGAGAGCTTGATGCAAGTCCCCGGGTGGTTTTGTTAGGACATGGGCCACCGTTTTTCCCTCCTTTCGGGAGAGTCGGAGTTCCCCAGACCGCCACCTAGGACGCAAGCACCTCCTTCTCGAGGCCGTACAGAAAGAGGGACACACTTCCCTTTGCTACTCCGGCTGGTTACCTTCTTCCTATCAACCACCTCCGCAACAAGGCTGGATGGCCGGGATACAGGCCCCAATTTCCGTTTCGCTCAGTTTGGTCTGCCCTTCTAACGTATCGGGCTCAGATATGGTACTCGTCAACGCTTGCTTTACTCCGTTCTGCCAGTGTCCCAGTATCAGCCAGCTAGGCCCGGGGTACCCTACTGTGCTCCATCTTTGATTCTCAGGGGCATGACCAGAGGACAGAAACTGTCCCCCTTTCAATCTTAGCGCCTTCCCCTTTGAAGGTTTGTGGAGCTCGTGTATTAGACTATGGGCACGGGACTTGAACATGCCACACACTGGCTTCCAGTTTGAGCAAGCATTGCCTTTCGCATATCCGAGTGGCTAAGGAGACGGGCATCCTCAACCTTGTAAGAGAAACGCGTTGCATGTCCGTAATCGCGCAGTTTGGCAAGCCTCTCTGCCCGCGTCCGGCCTAGCATCCACTATCCACATCCGCTGTTTGGAGACCTAGCATCGTCCCACGTCCGACCAAAATCGTCCGCAGTCAGCATGGATCCCCTCCCTTTGTTAGTGTCAAGCGAGATTGCATGTCCATAGTCGGGCAGTTTGGCAAGCCTCTCTGCCCGCGTCCGGCCTAGCGCCCGCTATCCACATCCGCCGTTTGGAGACCTAGCATCGTTCCGCGTCCGACCGAAATCGTCTGCAGTCAACATGGATCTCCTCCCTTTGTCAGTGTCAAGCGAGATTGCGTTACCCTTTGAGAAAGGCTGCTGGCCCTCGAACGGACTAGCGTGGTGATCATGCATCCCGCAAGCGGAATAAATGAGCACCCCATTCGTCTGATCTTGAGCAAGCAGACCTCCTCGTTAGAAAGATGGGAGAGCGCACCGTCTTAGGCTCTGACCGGCTTCACTAGGTGATCATGCATTCCGCAATGGGATGGATGACCACCTATTCGTTCGATCTCGGCCTCAAGTGAACTCCAACACCTTTCCCAAAAAAACGCGTGCACGTAATCGCACAGTTTAGCTAACCTCTCTGCCCGCGTCCGGCCTAGCACCCACTATCCACATCCGCCGTTTGGAGACCTAGCATCATCCCACGTCCGACCGAAATCGTCCGCAGTCAACATGGATCTCCTCCCTTTGTTAGTGTCAAGTGAGATTGCATGTACGTAGTCGCGCAGTTTGGTGAGCCTCTCTGCCCGCGTCCGGCTTAGCACCCACTGTCCACATCCGCCGTTTGGAGACCTAGCATCGTCCCACGTCCGACCGAAATCGTCCGCAGTCAACATAGATCTCCTCCCTTTGTTAGTGTCAAGTGAGCTTGCGTTCCCCTTTAAAAAGAATCGGCCATCTTGACCGCTACCCAGGCATTATCCAACTGGACACCCTGCAACAATTGAGCTTTTTGTCCTTGCCATATCAGGTAGTGGTCAAACACCCGACCGGATCAAACCCCAAATGGGAAGTGATCTGACCGGGCCCTCATCTTTTTCTCCGGTTCCAAATAGTCCGAGTCCTACCCTCCCCAACCCAAGGGTCAACGACGCCGCCTCGCATAGCGCAAAGAGGGGGGGCCACCTAACCTTGAGCGGATCGGGATAGA